ATGCGTGCCGAGAAGGAGAATGATCTTTGGGTTATTCTCTACTCTATCTTCTGTATGGGTGCCATGAACAAACTCGACTTCCCTGACACTATTTCGGGGAACTCAATATTGCCTGCAGACTACAATTTCACTTCGATTAAAAAGTGCCTCTCGGACCCTTCGTTCGTCTTCGCAGACAAGGAGTAAATCTCGAACATCTCATATATACTAGGCTGATAGTTGCAGCGCTAGAAAGTCTTAGACATTCCTAAATAGAGTGTCTGAGACTCACATCTTATACTTTGTTATTCACTTTTCTAAGTGAGAGGTTCGTGCACCTCCCCTCATCGTGAGCTCTGGTCAATGTTCAAGCAATCGGTCATTACCACTTTGTTGGAACAATGAGCTCTCTTCTAAATGATCGTGAGGCAGTTGCGTTCGGCGTGTATCCACTCCAAATACGACACAGAAGTCGCAATTCCAAATTATTGTCAAGCGATGCGTAGAGGCTTGCCATAGCTATTCTGGAATGACCATAAAAACAGACACGTAGAGTACACTTGTTTCACTGCTCGCCAATGAGTCCCATGGAAGGTTACCAGGGGTTTAGAGTTCCTCTCAAAGATAGGGTTAAGACGAGAACTCAGTGTTATTATGGTGACATCCCGGACTCACTGTGAGAGATGCCAAGGACCGTCTCTCACACCTGTCAAGAAATTGCTGTGATGGTCGTCCCCAACTTTGGTGATTACTGGGGAATCGCGTGGCTACTGTTGACAGAAATTAACTCCTAACAATTACGGTTTCAATTCTCCCTTGCCATATCGATAATAGTAGGGAGACTGGTGACACAACTGTTGATGCGGATAGTGTGTGAGAATGATTACGAAGTTTATGGTGTGACACTGATAGGCACGACTTTGACATCGATCCCCCATTCGAGCGAAGACACCAATGCCCTTCCGAGCATCATCGATCTACAAGGCAACACGTTTAGTCTGCTCTCAATCGGACTCCTCTACCATATTGTTCAGTCCTGCCTTCCGACAGCATGGTATTCTACTTATCGAGCACAGGCTGGTATTCACAAGCGTCTTCCGATATGCGAGCGAAGGCGAGAGGTGCCTTCCTGTGAAACACTAGGCTTTTCAAGAACATGCAATAGCAACTAACTTATAAGGCTGTTCAGGGGCTCTTTATTCTGTCTGTTTTCTAATACTGTACGCATTCACAATAGCTATGGTAACCTTTCCCAGCATTGAAACTAACCAGATGCTTACCAGAATAGAGAAGCAGAGCCGTGGTTCACGCTAGAATGCAGGTATGAATTGGTGTTGATTGATCGAGATGCACATATCAATATCATTAGAAATCGTAGACAAATGCAGTTGACAGTGTTAGTGAGAAATCTTCATTCACACTATTCATCTAGTCATCATTCGAATCTTCTGATGCAGAACTGTTCACCGTGCATGACCGCTCGGTACACGACGTTCCCGAGCCTGACCCTGCTAGCATGAGTCAAGGCGAGAACAAGACAGAATATACCTACTAGCTTTCGTGGGCGTTAATTTCTCGTAGTCACCAAAGAGGCCACGGAGGAACTCCTCTTGCTTAGCGATTGTAACCGAGTCTTTGGGTGACAGATCTCCTCGGTCGGAAATCGACGGACCTATAAACCACCAGACCTAAGCAGGCGAGATCATGAAAGACTTACATGTCATAGTAGTGGTAGAAAGGAGTGAGGCAACCGAGGGGCTGGTGTCCAGTCGGGTTGCCGGGGGTCGGGGAGTCTCGCTGAGTCTCTTCTTGAGCGTAGCATCAACTTTCTTTAACAGTGCTTTCCTGCCGGCTCTATCCCTTCTAGTGACGACTCTCACGGCAACTATCAAGCCGATCGTGAGGAAGAGCATAGGTAACCACAGACTCTCTGTAGAGCATTCGGCAGGTGGTGCTGTTCTGAGACGCCATATCTCGTTCTGGGAGGCCTCGAATCTCCGCTTCCAGTAGTCGGCTTTATCATGAGCTGGCCCACAGAGGCCGAGCATATCCCCGAGTGAAGGCGATGACGACGATGGGACTACCATGGATGAACAAATACAATTCCTGGTATGATCGGAAGTCTTCTAGCCTGCCAGCATGGTTGGAGATAAGCATCGTCAATGTCATCGAGGGAAACAACATACGTGTACATACAGTAGTATTTGAACAACCATGTGGCCAGACGACTATGTTCGAGTGCAATGGAGAATCATTGAAATCGGAGACCATCCCAAGACCAAACCAGACAAGAACACATCGAGTTCCTAGCATCACACACGCTAGCTGTAACCACAACCTTCTAAGGACACCATTGAACTACGACTGGTAACGCTTCAGGCAAAGTGTCCTGTATGTAGGAATTGACGAACTCAAGCCATCGAGTTTGTGACTAACAAAGGAGATGCGTTTCGTCCTCTTGAGGGCTGATGATGATAATAATACAACAGCTTCATTCGATAATAGTTCTGAAAAGCCTAATAATGACGCTTCTTAAAGCATGAATAACATAACAACAAAGACTCTACTATTGTCATCGAGGCCCAGCACGAGAGATGGCTCTTCGCGACAAGACCTCAAGAAATGATCGAAAATAATGTTTACAGATATTAACACAATTCCCGTGGTGCCAAATGACTATCAAAAGCGAGTGAAGACCTCCATTCCAGTAGAGTGTAATAACAAAACCCGATCAAGCGACTTGGTAAGACAGTCGCAATAGGCCATATAGGAGGCACAGTCCTTCTGAGTCTCCGTTGACCATATATCAGGCATATTCATCATCACCAAAGCACTGTCTTTGCTTCGCTCCGCTATCATTGCGTTCATCCTCATGTACGGCCTTGCGCTGTTAGGATGAGCCACTGGTTGACGCTGGGAAGCAGCTCCCGACGGGACCTTGAGGGAATTGCCAGACTGGGAGTTCGAACTGAAGGCGTTGACTTGTGCTAGGCGGTCCATGTAGCTTCGACGCTCTTGAATCTTATTGTGAACGTTGGACAAAAGA